CTGAGGTAAGTTAATCATAGCTAAGAGAAGAATAGAACGACCGTTAGTGTCATTTGGTTGACGATATGCTCACTTGTGGTACATTGAAGCTTTGAAAGCAGAAATTGTTTCTGATGAACTCATATTGCATAAAAGTCGCCGAATTGAGCAAAAAAGATGGATGGGTGAATGAATGATTATGAAAATAGAATAGTTTATTATGGGAGATCAGAATCCACTAATTTTTTTACATCTTTGAAGAAAATTGTCTTGGTGGAAGGTGAGGTGGGACCAACGGTATTCGAGAGCCAACCGACCAATTCTGCTGCAGATGCTAAGGCAGATCAGGATGACGATGAGCATTTAGTGGGGCCTTTTGCTTCCAGCGCCAAGCAACGCTTTCTCGAGAGGCAGAAGGAGGCTGAAGAGGCTGGTAAGAAGAAGTCCACGCCGGGTATTGTAAGTCACTCTCACTGCTGTCCTTCTGTGACCTTCATATTTTCCTGATGTTGTTGTAAGGTATTCGAATTCTCCAGGAAGAGCAGGGGATAAAAGGCAATCTTGTGACTTAACGACGTTGGCTGATAGATAATGGTGACGATTAAGTAGGCTCCAACTGGGACAGCACATCAAACCTTTTTCGGCAAGTTTGGGGTTCTGAGCGCACCAGAAACAGAATAGCACAATTATTGTGTCTCCATAAGCGATTTGAGCTGGCGGTCACTTTTGTACAAATGCATGTGAATATGTGCTGTAGCACTTCCAGTCCTCCATTAAGTCTGAACAAACCACAATAGCGAGACGAGAAGTTTTTACTCATGGTACGGAGCGTCTGGGTACGTATAAGAGTTGTCTCCTGTTAATTCATTACCCTGAAAGGATTTCATGTAAGCAGTGAGCTAATGTGAGCAAATATGTGGCTCACCAAGTGTAAATTATAGTGCGTAACTATTTACTGACTCCTGCTCCACTCTCCATCTCCACTATCATTTCGCACTGCCGTTTCGTACGTCCCTTTTGTGCCATAGAGAAGAGGGCATCAGTTATAGATACCTGTCACTTCTTAGTCATATGCATGCCATGCAGTGTCAATTGTAAGCTTGATGTTTACAAGTTCATGTGTGGAAGAAGGCAAGTGATAAATGGTGACAGTTTCTCCTCAGAATAGGTTAAAACAAGCATCACAGTGCTAAAGGCCTTCTATAATTTAAGTGAAGCCTTAGTAATGCAGACGAAAATGAGTCACAAGAAAATGAGTTGAAAGGA